TAATAATAATTCTAGTCCACATATTCAAAATTTAAATTCAACACAAAATACTTCAGAGCAAGCATTATTGCGAGTGCAAAAATCAGAGTGAGGAAGTCAAACCAAACAAAATCGTTTCACAACAGACTCAACAAAGGTGAGGCGCACTTCTTTTTCATCATCATCATCATCGCCAGACAGTACATGACAAAAGGCCTCTCACTGTCCTGCGTGAGGTCGCACATTTGCATCCCCGACGGGCCGTGCGTGTGGCTACGTGGCGTGTGGCCTTGCACTCGGCAGTCGGCCACGCCCATCCTCCCTTGGCTGCACCAATCCAAGGGCGGCCCGGTGAGTCACTATCGACTAAAGTGCTGTCAAGAATAATAAAAACCCCAATACCACTCCGCGTGCAAATTAAACTGTAGAACAAACGAGATGATAGGATAAATGTGAAACCAATGGCTTCCAGTTTGAACTGCAAAACTAAAACATTGCACAGTTTACTCCTCCCCTAAAGAGTTGAGGTTGGGACAGGCAAACTCACGAAAATAGTCCTCCACTAGTAAAACAAATGTACGATGTTTGCACACTTTGGTGTGTAGTCCATGATTTGGCACATTGCACAATCATGGCTAACTCACTTCGAAGACGTTTGTAATGTGTAGCATAATCTACGTTTCAGAAACGCGCAGAAACGAGTACAGTTTGCATACCTATTGACGGATTATCTTGTTAGATGCCACAACGTGTCTGTTTTACCTTGGTATTGTAACGCATTTTAAACAGAAGAAACAAGATTAGTTAGATTGTCAGAGCGTTTCTTTGAGACATTTGTGACTTAAATTGGTTGACATTGTTCGGTTGCTCTGGCTTTGTTTTCGCAAAGAGCCCTTGACCGCAGCATAGCGCATTCTTGCACGCCCCCCCCCCCTTCTCCCAGTCCAACTCTCCCTATCTTCCTCGTCTTTCGCACCCGTTTACGCGGCCAGGCCAGAGGAGGGTGGAAGGGCTGGCTCGAGCTGAGAGAGGATCACCCAACACTGGAAATCCAAATATACTGCCAGGAACTGACTGGAATGTAGGGAAACCATGCGGCGCAGAAGCAGGGCGGGGCCATGAGCCTCAGATCCCCACACATGCATCCACTGCGGATCATAATCCTTGGGTGCGTTATTCACTGGGATGGGATGGCGCAGGGGGAAAGGTAGACATTAGTTGAAGGTTAAGACACTCAAAATTATGAGGTACGGATACACGTTTCACAAAAATGCGCTCGCTGTCAAGCATAAATTTACAGCAGTACGTGGAGTGAGTTAAGCAGAGGGAAGCTAGAAGAAAGGTATGGGGGAACCTCCACGGGGAGGTGGGGCACTGGGACGGTGAGACAACACGCTCTGGCCCCGACTCTTTAGGCGCAGCACGACCCTCGCTGCAGGGCTCCGACGAGGCTCTGCAAGGCGGGGTCCAGGACGGCAGGCAGCCTGTGATCTCCGATCCACAAACGCACACAAGCCGAGGCAGTTCAGGGGAGGGAGGGGGTGGTAGGGGGAGCGAGCGGGGTGCTGCTTGGACCCGGTACCGTCTCCTCCTAAAAGATCCGAATAATTTGGTCGGCTGTTTGGCCTCCTCTCTGCCTCTCCGTGGTAGTACCCGCGGGTATAGCGCCACTGGGCTACGGCACTTGGAACTTTACCTGCCTGCTTTCCGGGGCCAGGGGGTCTCAAGAAAGGGGGGTGGCGGGAGGAGGGGGTGAAGAGAGAGAAACCGGGAGATCCATCGGCCCTATGCAAAATGCTCCGAGGCGGAGGAGCAGCCAAGATTGCGGCCGTTTAGCATACCGCGACCACACTGCCAAAAAAACCGCTGCGGCCAAAGGCATAAACACGCCGCATTTTCTTTTTATTTCTTTTATTTTTTACCCCACGAAGAGTCTTGGTCTTGCGGTTTTTGGGGGTCGCAGCGCCACTGGGAGGGGCGCGGCGCGCGCGCGAAGGCTTTTATCCCTCTTAATCTGATCGCAATCCCGGCCCCCGCCGCTGCGGCGGTTGCATCGTAAAATTGAATAGCAGCGCGAGCAACGCCCCGCAACGCGTCGCGCACTACAGCCGGCGGCACCCGGAACAAAGACGTGCCCAGATCCGGCGCAAAGACGCATCCAGATCCGCGTTTACGTCAGATCTGGAAGCGTCTTTCTTCCAGATCTGAATGTGCGTCATGCTGGATCTGGACGCGTCCTTAGACGTCCAGATCTGACACTTATGTCACGTGGCCTCGGGACGACTAAAACATGTCTGTCCGTGAGGGCCGTCCGGCACATGAGACTATGAGTAGAGGTGTTTCCGCGGCGGAACGAGTCCAGGTGCAAAGGTGTGAAGCAGCTTCGAGGAGGACGCGAGACGTTTCGCACTCGGGGGGTCAACGGTCTCCAGCGGCTGCTCAGGGCGCCGGCACAAAACACAACAAACACGGAGAGTCGCTGGCGCCACCCACCTCCAGCCTCCAGGGCGAGGAGCACCACGGTGTACACCCAGAGCGCCGCCATGGTGGAGCAGGCCATGCTGGTCGTGTCCGTGCGGCTCACTCGGGCGGGGCCGCTGCCCCCCGCGGGGCCATCAGGGCGACGGCGGCGGGGGCCGCCACCAGGGCTGGTTATCCAGGGCGCCCCACCACACAGTCCAGGATCACGATGAACAACACTCGCGAGGGCGCGCGGGGAAGCGGCAGTCGGGCGGACAGACGGCGCGGCTCCGCGCGGCGGCACCACCGAGGGGTTGGGGCGGCGCCTCGGGGGCGGCGGCGGCGGGCGAGTCGGGAAGAAGTACGCGAGCGCGGGAGCGGTCTGGCGGCGGGCCGGGCCGGGGGGCGGCGCGGCGGTGCTCTGCGTGTGCTCCGTGAGGCTGCTCGCCGGGGACTGGCGGCGGGGCGGGCCAGGAGGCCGGGCGGCGCCGCACCCCCCGCGCAGCGCAAGGCGCAAGCCGGGGCGGACACGGACCGTTCGACAGACGAGCGCGCCCCGCCCTGCTTGGCCATGCCGGGCCCTGCCGCGCCACCAGATTAGGAATGTATGCGTGTTTTCACCTTGGTGTGCGTCGCTGTGGTTTTTGGCGCTCGAGCAGAGAACTTCCCTCGGTACTTCCCCATCAAACATGGCGACGACTAACACACTGCGCAAATAAATTCGCTTCATAAAGCCGCGCTCTGCTGCACCCGATAACGACAAGAAGTACACTGTAAATCTGGGGTGTCCAGCAACCGTGCGACTTCGCAGTGTAGTAGTGTTACAAACAAATAAAACACGGCGCTCACATCGGCACAAAGTGGGACGAGGAGACGCGTTGTCCGGAGGGACGAGGCGCAAAGTGTGGCCGGGGAGAGAGGTACAAACGTATGCACGTGTCAGCACGTGCGGCTTGGGGTAGCGGTTGCCCCCCCTCTTTCCTCAACTCCCCCCACCCCC